AGAAAATCGCGTATGAAAGGAGTAATTTATTTATTTTATTTAGTTACATGCTGACTTACAGACAAATATATCCAACACACCAGCAAGTTAAACATAACAATAAAAAGAAATGAAAAAACAATGTCATTTTAGTTAATCTTAAATTACAATAAGAAGATGTCAATGTCACAATAATAATAAAATTATGGAATAGTACGCATGTCATGAAAATAATAAACTTATATAATAAAAGAGGCTAAATAAATAAGTGAGCCTTATTACTTAAGATTATATTTATTTTATTTGAAGGGACAAATCTTGTATGGGCTGTTTATAAAATTTACGAGAAGAATATATGTAATCACGTTAAATCATGTTAAAAATATTAATTTAAATGCACTTTAGTTAGATCACATATAACAAATTGCTTTAGGTAAACTTATAAATAAGCGATTTTATGTGAGCCGTTTTTCCGTGTAAATTATAGTTTATGCCCTGTGTATAAAGTAGTTTTTTGTCTTGTAAAATAATGTTTAAAATAGGTCCAATAGCTTCGGAACCTATTCGATGTAAGCACTCAAATTCGAGGGCTCTAGATAGGCCCGAACAACTAAATAACCAAAGTTATAGAGGTGACCTAATTTTAAAGTGATTGGCGATTTTCTTTATTTAGCATTGTATTTCAGGATAGAATTATATATCAATATTTTAGTTTCATAAAAAAAAAGAACTAGACTATAACTTGATTTTTGTCGAAACCCAACAATTCTTTATAACATCAAATCATATTATACTTTATGCAATCCGTCAAAATCAAGGATTTTTTTTTATATCTATTGTACTGAACTAAGACTGCGGAACTGTCATCATTGCGGAAGAGATAACGGCGAGAGCCCGAGATCATAATTACTATTATCGTGTATAACTGTAATTATTCATTTATTCTCGGCATTAGTCACAAAGGTTCATTCCCTGTGCCATAAAAACATATTTATTAGTAATAAAATTACTTTGATAACTCTCGTACATCATGGTGGCGCCATTTACAAGTTACCTGGTAGGTACGTAGACATCTTACATCTCCTACTTTTATTTGCTCTTATATCTTAAGATTTATTTTAAAATTAGAATATAATTTTAGTTGCAGAAAATAACGCCTGTTTTGTGTTTCAATTTATTATTAATATTACCGATATATCTAACATCAAATCACTTTTTACATTCAATAAGAAACGCGTAGAGGAAGTAATTATATACCTAAAACAGAAACAACTAAATTAACAATCGCTAGATGGTAAAACAATATTTTTAATCACAAAACGGTGACCTGGGACCGTTATCAAAGAGGACAATTTTCGTTCTAGGACAATAACACATAATTAATGAAAAAAAACTGAAATTTTCAAATTTAAAAAAAAGAAACAAAATGTAACAATGATTAATTACTCATTTAAATGTAATATACTTCCCGGTTTCTTATTTTGCATTTATATTTATGTAGGTAACTTGGATGACAAGTGCAATATTAATATGGAATGGAACCGATCTGTTAATGCTCTTTGAATGATGATGGAGCGAGTAGGTAGCCATGTGACCTATGAAATTAAACAACCCCATCGAGATTCTGTTCATTTGATTTGTCTTGACGAAAACTTTGGTCCGAGAAAATATCTAGGAAATGATAATGGAAGTTGAACATGATCAAGGGAATCCTTCAATTAAATGCACCTTAAATTTTTGATTAAGATATCTCCACAAGATCACTGGTTCAAGATAATACAAAAATGCCTTAAAAGAAATACACTTAATTATTTTCAATTTAATCTAATTATTTTTTATTACATCAGAAAAAAAACTTAAAAAATTATTTGTATCTCCTTTTATTCTGAAAACTACTTTTTTCCTAAATAAATCATTTCCTAAAGAATTCATAAAATTTATAGAGAATCAATACAATAAATTCTTTTAAATATTCAAGTATATTTTACAAGTAAACCAATACTTGCAATAATTTACTAGATTCCTAACTAAACATTCATAATAGGAAAATTTTAAATTAATATCGAATAAGGAAAATACACATAACGGTTATTATTAGCTCAGTAAATAGTCAGGTCTGTTGCTATAACGCTAGCCATAGCATTAAAAACTGGTTTTATTGATTTTATAAATGAATATATTAACTTTGTAATTTTTTTTTATTTCTTTTCAGTTTTCGGAATAATTTTGTTTGTTAACATTAAACTTCTTTTAATGTTAACACTCCTGAAAAAACTGACGACAACGCACTGGGGTGCGTCGCCTGGGGTTTTGCGGATGACTGGACTAGCACTCAGTTTCTCCGCAGGAGAGTACGCCTGTCCTGTTTGGAACCGATCTGCCCACGCAAGACAGGTGGATGCAGCACTAAACGACACATGCCGCATTATAACAGGTTGTCTTAAGCCGACTCCCGTGCAAATGCTGTACCCGCTGGCTGGAATTGCTCCACCATATGTTCGCAGGGCCATAGCAAGCTCCATCGAAAGGGCCAAGCTTGATTCCGACCCGCGGCACCCTATGCATCGCTATTCGTCTGTCCCTAAAAGGCTGAAGAGTCGCAATAGTTTCTACAAGTGCACCGAGCCTATCAACTCCGAGGCCTCTTTGGCTAGGCGTGAACTGTGGTTGGGTTCCGCCCTTTTGCCTTCCCCGTTTGTGTCAATCCAGGAGAAACTTCCGCCTGGCTACGACCTCCCCAGACCGGTGTGGAAATCTTTAAATAGACTCCGCACTCAGGTTGGCCGGAGTAAAGACAATCGGTCCAGGTGGGGTTTTACTAATACTGCAGACCTTGCGTGCAGGTGTGGTACTACGCCTCAGACCACTCCACACCTGATATGTTGCCCCGCTTGCCCCTACACCTGTACGCAGGAGGATTTCATGACGGCTGCAGATAGCGCCGTAAAAATGGCGGAGTTCTGGGCCGGTGACATTTAGTTTTGGTTGCCATTGACACGAAAGAAGAAGAAGAATGTTAACAAACAAAATTATTCTTCTTTAAATAAATTAAAGTCCAACTTTAAGTTTTTAATATTTCAGAAAACTACAACAACATTTTATAAAATGAATAAAACATTATATAGCTATGGCTAGAGATATAGCGACCGTCTAGATAACAACGCATGTGGCTGACAAAGTATTGGAGAAACTAATCCTGATTGGTCTACTGACAGTTGATCTGTCAGATGAATAAGGGTTACATTGTGAATAATTAATCAAGGCTTCAAGTTATGTGGTAGAGCTGAAAGTAATGCTATTTAGTAGCTACAAGCAAATATAACATTCTCTCCCTTTATGGAGATTGATGTTAGTACAACAAAATTTACGTTGTCATCATGTTGCTTTCATTTATTAATCTACTGGGGCTCTTTATGTGTATTATTTTAATAGAGGATTTTTTTTTTCAAAGAATAGGATTTAGATTTTTTTTCTTGTATACTTACCGCCTTCAAATTGGGCTCTAGTAGGATTATAGATTGTGTATAGAAATAGACTAAATAAACGATCCAAATAAAACAAACAGAGAATGGATATAACAGCGAAGTACCTTTTATAAAAATACGTAACGAAAATAGTTGTTTTATTTACTCGTAGTATAGTTTCTTTTTTTTTTCTAGCCTGAAAAGAAGTTTTATATTGTTCGCGCTTAACTTGTATATATGTATCTATATGATATTTTAAATTACCTCAAATCTTAAGAACCGCTGAACGGAATAATATAGCTGATGTATCGTTAGAATTGTCTTAGTAGCCCAAGTATTCTTAGATAGGTAACGTTAAAAAAATTAATTATGCCGGCTGTGCGACGACATTATATTTGATGATATCATTATTTTGTTTCAAATACTATAATATGGATATTAAATTAATGGACTCAATACAAGGATTTTTAAAAAAAATATACAATTATAAAGTTTAAAAATATGGAGTTTGTTCTGCACGTGTTACACGTTTAGCAAGCACGCACATTAAGATATTCCGATATCTCATAATTTAGTGTCACTATTTTATGCAATTTGCCACTATTTACTCACAATTTATAGACGTACACAAGAACCTCTAATTCATTGCTGTGTCTGCTATCTTGACGAACACCGATCACCGGCTACCCACAAATAAACACACCAGCAGAAGCGGCAATAAATCTTTCAACCAACACCGATTAATCTACGCTTACTTATTTCGATTCTACATCAGGATTTAACTTAAAGTCTGGGGGTTGCTAACATCGGATTTTTTCTTTCGTTATTGTCTTGTCTGTCTTTCTAAGATTTTATGTAATATGAGATTGACTGTCTTATTCAGCATATAGATCAATTAGCATTTTTTCATTTTTAATTAGTATATTTTTTTCATGTTTTTTTTTTTAAGTAAGTTAATGCCTACTTACATTACCACGATCAATCAAATAAATGATAGGATTCGAAGTTAAAATACATTATTAATATTCGATATGTCATATTACATGCAATAACAAAAAAAAAATTGGAAATAACTTCATGTCGACAACACGAAATCGCTGTATTATAATATACACAACATTAGAAATATGTTAAAAAACGTTTTTATGTCTGAATAAAGTCATAGAAAATGCAAGGTAAATTTCAGTGCAGTGCGTAGTTCAACTAATGAAGGTTTTATGAAATTTAGTTTTAGAAATAAAACCTGTTTTTATCTCGTTGAAAAATACTTAAAGTAAAACATGTAACGATGATACAATAAAGTAAATGGCAAAAGATATCATCATCTAATTTAACACTCACTTTATCATTGAATAAGTAATCGGCGAGATAATTCAATGGGGATCAACCTGATTATAATTAAAGCAAACACTCTACTTAAGTGGCTTACCCCAGAAAACTCTTCAATTGCAATCAATTCTTATTAACAAACGCATACAGATTAAAATGCTATAGATAATACTTTTACACTATCTTAATAGAAAAGGTATAAAAAAGAAAAATTGTTTCCTAAATGCCACTACATCGTACCGCACTTATTCTGAGTAGTTACATATTCTAATAATATTTTATTCATTTTGTATTCCAAATTTAAAAATGGACTTCGGAAAAGTTTTGTTTTTCGTGTTCGCTTGTTTCATGGTAGTATCCATGGTAGCTGGTGCGCCGGAGCCACGATGGAAAGGATGGAAAAAAATTGTGAGTAATATTTTTTTCATTTATTACAAAATGTGAAAGAAAACGACTCCATGTCAGCTTTTCTGACTATTCTGGTTCCTTTTTTCAAGCTTTTCTTTGACTTGCCGTATAAGTTAGTGTGGGTTCGATCTTGCAAGCTAAAGATGGGTCTTATATTTTTTGATGGGCAAAACAAATTCTACAGACCAAAAAAATGTAGTAGTAAAAATGTAATGAATTTGAGTAAATATAGGTATATTAACTAATTCAAAGCAATAAATAAACATAATAAAGTCGTTATTCTAAATAGAACCGGGGATATTCCAGGTTTTATAAAATTAAGGTGACGTATGACGTCATGCTGTGAGGTGGACGCAATCCACCCCAACAGACCTAATGAATTTATGTCAATCACGTCACCGAATACTAGATATAACTTGGATGAAAATATAACATCACTACAGAATGGAACTGATGTGATGACGAAGGATGAAGGTAGCAATGAGAGATTCTGTTATTAAACGAAACCACCCCATTGAGTTAGATCTTGTTTTATTTGTCTTGATTAGAACTGGTACTAACCTTTTTTATAATATTAAATATTATTATCATGCTAAGAAATTAAATGAATAATAATAAATGAAAAACTAACAAGTAATAGGAATTAAATACCCCGCCTTCGACGTTACATATATCACATTTTATTATGAAACTAAAAGCACTTTCTCCGAAGAAATATTCGTTTTCAGAAAAATTATAAGAACAATCTGGAATTAGGCGAATTTTTCTTCGTGGACTTATTTACCTACCGCCTTTCACTGTGTCTTTCTAAATATCATAAACTCAAAACCAAACTACGAATTAACCCTCTTTTTAATACCTTTTCATTTTTTGTGAAACAGATGTTACCTACTTGAATAAACTATTTCCGTGAATATTTTTGAAAGTTAATTTAAAACTTTTTTTACCGGAACAAGCCGCCATATTGTGGACAACAAGCCGCCTTAATCTATCATTATTATTCTGAACAGTTATGGGAAAACGGAAAGTTATTTATGAAATACTTTTTCGAAAGACGCTTAGGTAATATGCCTTTGTTATGCTCAAGTAATTTACATTTCAAATTGTTAGCTTTAAATCAGTGAAATTTATTTAATCACTGTAACCATTTTGTCTCTATTTATTACCTACAATAAATATTCTAAGGTAAACGTAAATTGCTAATGCGCTGGAACCTTGTCTAAATAACACCCGTGTGAAAGTATAGATAGCAAAATAGGCAAGAAATAAATTATTTATTAAATATTGAAATATTTATGAATAATACTCAAAAGATTATGATAATTTAATAAATCGTAGTTTGTTAATTTATTACATGTTTTTGTAGAGAAGAATCAATATATATGTAAATATTGAGGTGGATGGAAAATAATAAATTATGAAAAAAAAAAACATTTACTTTGTAATAACGCAAATAACAAACGGAAAAAACATTTTTATACAAAACCAAATGTGAGTCATTAGATATATTTATTGTTGGTGCAATTATGTTTACATATTGTGTTACTTAAATTATAATAGCATTTGCTTTTTTAATTCAACCATAACAAGTAACAACAAAACTTAACAAAACTTTCGAAACCATCAAAAGCATACCAAAAATGATGTATGATCTCAACACAACTCATATCAATTCATCAATCAGTGTTTATTTGTTAACGGTACTAATTTTAAACCGTTTACGTCATAAAAATGACGGCCAGACACCCAGACTCGAGAGTATAAAGAAAAGTTCATTTTCTGCTTTATAAACCCGACCGAGAATCGAACCCGGTACCTCAGAGCTAATCACTGCTGTGCGAACCACTCGGCTACGAAGGTCGTCAATATAATACATAAATAGGGAGTTTATTAAATTTAGAAATATACATAAAACTATATTTTCGACTGTACTTAACCCATTAACGCCCATAGTAAAACTACCGCATATTTTTGGATTTTTTTATTATAACTGTAATTATACAGTGTCAAAGAAGTAATGTAAGCAAAAATGTAAAAAAAAAAGTTTATTTGAAAAATGTTGGAAATATGGCCTGTAAAATGGGCGGATCAGGAGTGAAACATTTCAAAACACGGTCGCTCTACACAAGAAGTTTCGAAACATTTAACAACACCAAAGACCTCTGTTATGTCAAATAACAAGCCTTTTATAATTCGAATTTATAATTCATTACTTAACCACAAAAACGACGATGAGGACCTTTGTATGTTTTTTCTTAGTTCGACAAATAAGATCTTGCAATAGATCCTCTGAAAGCAATTTGACTAGCCTCATTTTTTTATTTTTCGTACAGGCTAGAATATGCAAGCGCCAGGTATTAGAAACCGACATATCCACCTGAATGGTAAAAATAACTTACGCCATTTATCTTTGATACCCACATGGTACAGGCTTATGGACTGATTCATTCGACCTAAATCACCACTTTGTATTATACGTATTCACTTCACATTCACACATTCACATCCACATCATTTTTTTGATTTGATGAAGAACACCATGGTTCACTTTTCGAAGTAGTATCATACTGTAAAAATGAGTTTTAACATAAACATAAACTTACTTTTTAGAGCAGGTTTGAATCAATTATCGAGCAGAATGTTCAGTTATATCAAAAACGAGCGTAAGACACGTTGGGAATAACTTACAATGAGAGTGACAATTTTACAGTTATTTTCGCACGTACTGTTTTTTCCATATTTCCTGGTGGTCAGTGATGTCTGAATATAGATTTAAAAAGCATTTAGACCATAGATAATAATTTGTGTTTATAAATTATTTTTAAAGAGTAATGGGTTAAAGATGGCACTTAAGGAAACCACAAAAAAAAACGAATAAATATGCTCAAAGAAGTTACCTAAAGTCGTTTACGCGTGATTTCTCAATCGTGCTAGATTGAAAAAGTGATGTATATATTCTATCTATATTTCTTACTGCGCGAGAAATCTTCCAAGAGTTTGGTCAAAGCTCGGTTTCGGGACGGTAAACATCTGGCATCTCTTTGTCTTTCTTAGCAAAAAAGGTCGATCGGATAATTCTGAACGTCATCTTACTTTTCCATTGAATTTTGGAAGCTGCCTTAGTAGTTTGAAATGACCAGTGACCAGTTCATTTTCATCATATAATATCACATCTATTTGAAAAAGTATATAACTGTTTAAAATTAAAATCCCTTAGACTCTGACATTAGACTAAAAAACTTGATACTAAAAACAAGTAAAAATTTTCGCTGTCAGTGTCATTATTGGTAAAAGGTTATATTAATCACAAAGAAATTGAATAGCAATTGTATAAGAAGCAAACTTTTTTATTACTGTCCTTTAAAAAATGTATTTGTTTTGAATCTAAAGGTGCCAAAAACAAAAATATTCATTTAATTGAAATGAAACTGTGTATCAAAACTCCTAGAATTTACGAATAGCAACAATAGTTTCATTAGATAAAATCATCAACTGATTTATTTGTTTCAGGAGAAAATTGGACAACATATTCGCGATGGCATAATAAAAGCTGGTCCAGCTGTGGCCGTGGTTGGACAAACACAAGGAATTATAAAGGGTCGTTAAGTTTTAATTAATTGCAATTGATTTAAAAAATGTAAAAATTTAAAGAATTTTATGATTTAGGTTCCTGTTTTGAAGTTTTGTGTAGACGTTTTTAATATTATATGTGCATCTAATATTGGCAATAAACATACCTATTATAAATAATCGTTAAATCCAATTATTATTTTGTTTCCCTATCTTTATAAAACTTACTTACTAACATGAGAACATATCATCAAGGGCATATACAATTTAATAAATTAAGGTCGAAAAGGATAAAGTTCAATTTATTGAAATAAAATAAAATAAAAAATTTATACTGTTAACTATTTCTTCACACAAAATTTCAAATCTTCAAATTTGATATCTAAATATTTTTATAAAAGTAAGAGTATCAAATAATAGGCAGAAAAAATCTTTAAATACTTTTGTCTGTAGCACATATTTGACTTTTTACAAAGTACAGAAAAAAATCGCATATTTCGACAAGTACGAAATGTTATATTTTCTATTCAAATTAAAATAAATCTTTGAATTTGTAGTTTTAAGGTACAATTTTATTAGTGTGTTCGTGCGACTATGCTTACGCACAAGCGCGCTCAGATACAAACCTTTTTCGGTACGTATGTATGAATTCAATGTACTCTAATATACTCTGACAATACTATGTTGAAAGTACAAGCAATATATTTTGATACTTTTCCCCAATTTTTGTATATTCTTTTAGTATTTCTATGGAGTGCTTCGTTATCTCTATTACTGCCCATTTTTACACGACTGACCAAGAAAAGGAGTATATAATGTTTAGGATTTATATTAAGTATAATAAGTATGTTAGAGTGTTTTTTATTCCACCATAACTTGTAAAAGAATTCACCATTTAAGAAAGTAGGGTAGGTGAGCGATAGGGTTTTTAGGAGAGTCATAAATTTAAATCAGATTATATGACGATGATACGATAAATGACTTAGATGACATTAATTGAAAAGAAATTGATTAGTCTTTTATTTTATTAGAATAAAACTAGTTAGAATTTACATTGGAGTTTAATATTACCGACAGGGTAAATTAGAGCGAAAAATGTCGCCATTGATATTGTGCTAGGGTTTAACTATACACAAACTCCAAGGAACTACTTTGGACCGAGCTGTGGCTGACTTAAGTTCACGCATTTTTGCTTAAGGTCAAGCATATGTAGCTTTGAGCCGAGTTAGGTCTCTAGAGGGTGTAATCATCGGTAGTTTAGAACACTGCAAGTCACTTTATAATCCCCACGATTTGAACTCCCTCATTAAAATGACTAGATTGCGAAATTTACCATCTTATAACGAAGTCAACAAATCGTATCTAAAAAGTATAAAATAAAAATAAATAATTTGTAGAAAAACAAAGAACCCGACTACGTGAAAATGAATTAAAAAAATATATGAAAAATTAACTTAAATAAAAATTAAACAGAAAGAAACAAGCCCAGTAGTTTAGAATTCTGTTAAGTAATACTAAATAACTACACAATTGAAATAATTTTATAATCGATACATACATAAAACAAATCATAAATTCTAATGCAGAACAGAACGACTCATAGTCGGGGCCCATTCAAATTTTACCAATCAAATCTTCTCATGGGGCCCCGACTATGAGTCGTTCTATTCTGTGTTTTTTTTAATTGACCACTCACAAAAAATACATTGTTTGTTATTTTTATATTAACCCACTTTTAAGGCAAAGACCTTCCTTATAAATGGTGAAGGAGAATGTTCTATGACCCTCCACGCTAGCCTACTGCAATTGGACGATATTAAATACTGCAAATGCAACCAGGACCAATGGCTTAACGTACCTTCCGAATCACGGAGTTCGAAATAATAATTTTTTGATCAGTCATCCCGTGACCGACCCTTGCGAAAATTGCTCATTAATAACGATCGCGTGCCGCATCGCTTTTCCACTACGCCACCGAGCAACTCAAAAACAATAATCTCAACTAAAACCATTTGGTCTAATTTATTTAAAAATACGAAATGCAACAAAGTCACAAAAAGGCCAAATAAATTTTACACCCATAGTAATATGCACCGGGCTTGTTACTATCGCTCGCTCGGCGTGCTATTATACTGAGAAATTCGATGTATGTAAGTCCAATGTTGAGTAGCGCTCGCGCAATACTGAGCACAGACGGTGTTTTTTCGGCGCTCAACCTTTGAGGTTCTGAACAACCCTCCCAACGGGGAAAGAAGGCAGTGAACTGTGTGGTATCAGACTCGTACTGACTAAACACCGCCTTGGACAGTTGGTTGCGTTCCCTGAAGGGCAACGAATCTTCGACCGAATCAGCCAGATCGGATGGGGGCTCGGACGGCCGGTGCGTCGCATGTATAGTAATTTTGCATTAACATTTATCGTTTTTATTGAAATAAGATAAAAAGTTTATGCTTAAAAATTATAAATTCTTAATTCTTTATGAAGTAGTCATTATTCTTGTATAAATTTAGTTCCATTATATTATCGTAGATAGGAAAAATTCACAGTTGACTTCAAACAATATTTGAAGTTTTTTGGGTTATAATATGATTATTTTTTAATGTTTAATTAGTTTTATTTTAAAATTTCGAAGTCACTACAAACTATACGACTATAAATATAATTCAATTTTTTGTTTAGAACAGTAGCTCAATCCAGGAGCTCAAAAAAATGTCTTTGCGCATTTTACGAAAATCGTTTTCTGCTATTTTGAGTTCGATTAACAAGTTAAGCAAAATTTCTGTAAGCAAGGGCCCTACAAAATATGGCAAGAGATATTCTGCGCTATTCAATAAGTCTAAATTATTAATATATTTTTGTTACTGAGATCGAGATCACTAAAATTTAGCATTTTACGCAAAATCATAGTTGTAATGTAATATGGCTCTTAAATTTTTATCGTATTCTATTTTTTTATATTTGTTTTTATAACGGCAACAGAAATACATCATCTGAGAAAACTACAACTGCCTAATTTTCACAATTCAAGAGATACAACCTGGGAACAGACGAACAGCGAGGTCTTAGTAATAGATTTCCGTTTTACCTTTTAGGTATGGAACTCTAAAAATGACAAACTCGTTATTGCATTAATAATTTTTTTAGAGGATTATTTTATTTCAGTAAATAGATATTGTGAATGTATCTGTTACCTTAAAACCAAACGACATTATGTTTACTCCTGTTTAAAATTATAGAGCAAAACTATCAAGTCTTGTATAACTTGTAGTAAATTAACCTGTGGACTTATTCTATTTCTCCTCGAACAAAAATTTCGGAAAATATCGAATTCTTCTTTTAATTTTATTATAATAATATCCGTTACTATTATCTGTGCATAGGAGGCAGTGTTGTTGCATTAAAAATGCGTTTCTCATTAGCATTTTGTAAAATAACGAAATTTTGTTTTTATCAGGGGTCATGTTAATTCGTATGAGTATTACATATAAATTATTTTAAATTAAATATTTGAATATTTAAATAAACAACCGAAATATCCGTAAACAACATTGGAAGGAAGAAATATCCTCTTGTTACATACGGATTTATAGTTTCCCGTGAGTTTCGATACGTGTTCCCATACATGAATATTGTTTTTTATTACCTTTCAATATATTCTAGGTAAAATAAGAGAAAGCAAAGAGTATTTATTTTCGGTCGTAATCATTTCCACAAGATCAGTGAGGTGAGTTAACGTTACGAAAATAGATAATGAAAATAAACTTAAAAAAATATATCCTTATAGCCTTCCGCTAGTGGCTTCGCCCGCGTGATCTAGTTTTAAGTCCAGAAATGAGAAAAATCCATAAAAACTTTCATCCCCTAATTTATCCTCTGAAGAATCGAATTTCGATAAATCCCGTCTTAGTGAGCACCTACGTCCTAAAAAGAACCTGCATCCAAAATTTGAAACCCCTACTACTTTTAGTTTCTGAGATTTCGTGATTAGTGACCTTAGTGATAGAGTTCTGTTAAGTTCCAACCATTAGCGTTAACGAGACTTTAATTGTATTTTCTATATAGAAACGCTTAATGTTTTATTTCTTTAAAGATGATTTTAACTATATAGAAGCAGCTGAATCTACTCTGTTTTGTGCTAATTAATGATTTTTACCTTAATAATCACGATTATTTAAGTCAAAGTTTGAAATGGCGCGTCATCGCTACGCTCTAAAGACGATTCTTCAAGGTACATAATCACGCCTGAAATAAGTATGTGTTTGAAAATTATATGTTATATCTGCTACTTGGTATGTAGTCTCTGTGTTAGTTTATTCGGTCCACTGGTTATAATTGTGACTTGACAATTTGTTATTCTACAATTTGAAAGCAACTCTATTTCTTTCACCACATTAGGTTTTTCCATAGTAAAAAAATCAGGGGGCGGTGTATCGACAGCCGTATCTAAAAAAATTTACTCATGTCGATTAAATAATTATGATAGTAAATGTGAAGACATTTGACTGAGCATTAACATAGCAATACATAATAAACCTATAAAGTTGAGGATATGCGAGATGTACCTACTCTCACCTATTCAAGAATATATTTTAAGTACTTTTATAAGTAATACGTGAGCTCAACAAAAGAGAACCCTGACTTAATGTGGTTTGACTTTAATTTGGGAGGTATAACATGGAAACCATCGGATTCAATATACATGACTGGCTAATCAAATTGTAACAGCAAATTCCAAGTCAGAGGGTTCCAAGACAGACAATAGACATAACATACCGATTTCAATATTTGCATCGTGTGCTAAAACCTTAAAACCAAATACTTTTTGAGTCTTTATTATATCCAGTGATATATAGACATATTAAGCAGCTGTTTATGCCGCAACAACACGGATTAATTAGTTTTCGTTCCACTACTTCCAATCTTGTTAGCTTTGTGTCTGATTTGGTATTGGCAGTTGATTCGTGTGACTATGTTGACGTCATTTATAATGACTTCAGCAGGGCTTTTGACAGGGTTAGTCATAAGCTCCTCATTTTTAAATTGTTTTCTCAGTTAGGTTTTAATGGTAGCTTCCTAAAATGATGTACTCAGTATCTCGTGGGCAAAAAGTTCAAAGTTGCCATCAATGGTCAATCCACTAACTTATATGATATTTAGTCGGGTGTACCCAAGGATCCAACTTAGG